GCCCATTGCACTGCTGGGATGGAAGTCGTCAGTAGACCCAGCACTGACATGGCCTGCCTTATCGCTATTGGCCTGTTTCCCTGCACCAGTCTGATCCCTGCCTCTAATTTGGACACCTTCTCCGAAGTCAGGCTGACCCACTGACCCACCGAATCCAGAGTGTAACCCAGATAAACCATCCTCCGAGAAGGCACCAGACAAGATTTCTCTAGATTTACCATCCACCCAAGGTTTTCTAGATGGCCCCGCACTATACCCAGATTCCGCAGAAGGTGAGCCTCTGAATCTGCGAAGAGCAGCAAGTCGTCCAGATAGGCTATCACTGGAATTCCCTTCAAACGAATAGGAACCAGTGCCTCCGTCAGAACCTTGGTAAAAATTCTCAGAGAGGAGGACAGTCCGAATGGAAGAGCCCTGAACTGCCAGTGTCGCACTCCTCCCTCTCCCTCCACTGCCAACCTGAGGAACTGCTGAGAAGTTTCCGCAATGGGCACGTGCAGGTATGCGTCCTGCAGGTCTATGGATGCCATAAAAGACCCTGGCGGGATCAGGGACCTGACCGTAAATATAGACTCCATGCGGAACCTCCGGTAACGCACAGACCTGTTGAGGGGCTTTAGGTTCAAAATCAGCCGGAATGCTCCAGACGGCTTTTGAACCAGAAATACATGGGAGTACACCCCCTTCATTTGTTCCCTTTCTGGGACCCCGACTATGACCCTTCGGTCTTCTAGATCCTCTAAGGCATTGATCAGGGCAGCGGCCATCCCCGGGTTTCTCGGACGCGTCGTCACCATATATCTCTCAGGCGGTGTCCTTACGAACTCCACCCGATAACCCCTTCTGATAATATCCAGAATGAAGGGGCTGGCGACCACCGCTTCCCACTGCGGGAGGAAGGCCGCCAATCTTCCTCCCACAGGAGGCACCAAGTCAGTGTATTTTCTGGGGCTTCTCAGGAGGGTGAAAAAACGCCCCTCCCCTGCCCCGACCTCTCTGTCCTGTAGGCCTACCCTGGCCCACCGGTCTCAGGCTCAGTCTCTTTAATGGACGGGCCCTACGTATCCCTCCCTCGGCAACTTCCTCTTGAGGGGAAAAGATTTTTTCTTGTCCGCTGTCCTGTCCAGAAATTCCTCCAACCCTGGGCCCAGACAATCTCCTGTGAGAGGGATACCGCACAGTCTGACCTTGGAAGGGATGTCCCCTTGCCACGTTTTTAACCATAGTTCCCTACTAGCTGAATTGGTGAGAGCCGCTGACCTAGCCCCCAACCTCACCGACTCAGCAGAAGCATCCGCAATATATCCTACCCCCTGTAGAAGGGTCTCAAAAGAGGCCAGGATCCTTTCCTTGGGGGAGTCCGCCACTATATGGGCCTGCAACTGAGTAAGCCAGTACTCCAAGTTTCTGGCTACCACCGTCGAGGCCATGGCCGGTTTCAGATTGTACAGGGTTGAGGCCCAGGCTTTTTTAAGGAGGGATTCCGCACTCCTATCCAGCAAATATGGTAGAACCCCCATGTCCTCAAAAGCCAGGTCTGTCCTCCTAGTTGTTTGGGAAAAGGCCGCGTCTAGCTTGGGGTTCTTGTTCCACACCGCCGCGGGGTCCTCACTAAACGGAAACCGTCTTTTTAACGTTTTAGAGAAGAAAGGCTTCCTCTCTGGGTCCTGCCATTCCTTCTTAATAGTCTCGATTAAGACGTCATGCACAGGGAATATTCTGTATCTATGCTCCTCCAACCCGATACATCTGGTCATGGAGAGATAGGGTCTTAACCTCCTCCTTTATGTCCAGGGTCTCATAAATTGCCCCCAGGAGCTCATCCACCTCCTCTAGGGTCAATTTATACCGGGAGGGACCCCTGCCATCCTCCGAGGGACCCTCCCCTGCGGATTCCTCCTCTGACCGGGAATCCCCCAATGGTTCCCCCCCTCCTCCCTAGCCACGAGAGGTTCCTTGCTTTGACTCAAGGCCGCCGGGGGCGGATGTGTAGGCTGGGGAAGTTCAAACCACTCCATGAGTGATTTAAAGGAGTCAACCGTGCTAGTCAACTCCTTTACTGACCTAGCTAAGTCCCCGTGTTCAGGCCTGTCCTCCCTCACTAACCCCTCTATGCATGGGCCACACAGCACCTTCCTCCAGGATTCTCTCACCACCTCCTTGCAGGATGGGCATCTCTGTTTGGGCTCTTGGTGTTTGGTTTTAGCCCGAGCCTTGCCCTGAAAAACATAAAGAAGGGGCAGGAGGGAAGTCACTATACTATCTCACCCATCTCTCTTCCCCGGCAGAGCCTAAGGACCTGCACCCACAGCAGACCCCCTGCCCTACCCTTCCGGGAATGCCCCTGGAGCTAGGGGGCAACAGATAGGAGAGGTCTCCACTGAGGCACCTTACCTGTATCTGGCGTCGTCTCCTGGTCCCGGTGCCTCCGACATCGTGCTCCAGGAGGGTGGTCGCTTGGTGCAGGCCTGTCCCTCAGGCTACTATGCACTGCACCGCCTTTTGAATTTCGTGCGCTGTGGTTGAGGGCCGCGACCGGAAGCAGAAGTCGTGGCCCGGGGTGAAGCCCCGCCCCTTCCGCCGGAACTCACCGTCTCCCGGCGTCCGGCCCAGCAACAACCAACGCCAGCATGGGAAGGAGCGAGACATCACCCAGATCCTCCCCAGATCATACCACAGTAACCCCGACGCCCCAACCCACCCAGGGAGGATGTGCAGCCGGACCTCCGGCCTTCACTCCCGGCTGCGTCAAACCTCTCAGCCGGCTATCCGGCCCTCGGCTCCCCTGCCATCTAGGTGACAGCACCTTGTGCTTCCTCGTGTCTCCCCACCGGAGGAAACACCTGAACTGAGGTCGGAGGGGAGTGGAGGTCTTTTATTTTAGGGTGGAGGGGTTTCCTCAGATGGGGAGGAGCCGAGGTCTCTCAAGGTGCTGGCCTGAAAGACGTAAGGGGAAAAAAGGTTTTTTGAACGGATGGCTTCAAAACTGTATGGCATCACAAAAGGTGAGGAGTATAAAGAAAATAGCATGGTGCCTACAGTGAAACATAGTGGTGGCAGTGTCCTTCTGTGGGACTGCATGAGTGCTGCTTGTGTCGGGGAGCTGCATTTCATCAACGGTATCATTAATTCACAGATGTACTGCTCTATATTGAAAGAGAAGATGCTACCATCACTCCATGCCCTTAGTGGACTTTGGCAACATGACAATGATCCAAAACATAAATCTAAGGCCACTGTTGCATTTCTGAAGAATAACAGGGTGAAAGTGATTAAGTGGCGAAGTACGTCTCCTGATTTGAACTCATCCGAACACCTATGAGGAATTCTGAAGAGACAAGTTGAGCATCACTCTCCATCCAACATCCAGGCTCTAAAAGAGGTTGATCCTGAACTATGGAAATAAATAGATGTTGCAATATGTCACATGTCTTTGAAGGAAGTTCTGGCACCTGTAGTTCCACGTGATTGCTAAGAAACAGATCCTCACATTGCACAAACAGGAGATCATTTATAACAAGATCCCTGTTACAAACCTATATTCCTTCAATCACTCATCCTCTAGATTTATATAGCCTTTTTTGTCCCAAAAAACGGCATATAGTAAGGCTTAATGGTTGTCTGACATAACATCGTCAGTATGGGAGAGAATCAGAAGTAGAGCGGTTAGTTACACACTCCTTCTGATCACTCCCTATGTCCTTAGTGAAATGCTATGGTAAACATCGAGCTTCAATAAAATGGCCGCCGTCGGCGCGAACTGCGCATGCGTGAACGGGCAAATGCGATATGCGCAAACGGCGGGAATCGCCAATTATGAATCAATTACATGTGTTCCCTTATATATACTTGAGCAGTCACTGAGGGGGCCTAGCTTTCTTTGAGAACGTGCATGGCACGAAACATGTCAGAAAGCTGCCCTCAGTGACTTTCTATCCACGTGGATCCCTTTTATCTGGCCAACAGGCCCTTGCATATCATGTGAGTTATATTTTAACCATTTCTTTGCACTTGAATAAAGCATTGCTGCACTTAGATATTTTTGTTTTTTGGCTCTTTTTTTCCCTGAGCCAATTTTCCCCAAGAAAATCGTGGGATGTTCTCTAAAGCTCTATCTCCCTCTGGTGGTCGGTGAACACATCATACCTTTTGGGATACCTGGTTGATGAGACCCTGGTTGCTGGCTCCCTATGGTGGTCTACAATCAGAACTCTGCTATTCGGAAACCCTGTTGAAATGCTGGGATAGATGCTGTTACTAGCGAGAATACCTGGGTCCAGATGCTCACACCTAGATGATATCATCATCTACATGCGTTTTTAAAAGCGCTATCTGGTTAGTGCAACCTATTCTCATTTTCCACACCATTGATGTCACGAATAATGGTCGCTCACTATATATAGACTGTCACCCATCTTCACGTTTATATTTTTGAAAATGAATACATTTACTTATTCATGCATGGTGATCCATGGTTGTGTGCGTTATACACTATCTTGCACATATATATGCCTAATGTCATTCTCAGAGTACCGTATTTTCCGGCGTATAAGACGACTTTTCAACCCCTGAAAATCTTCTGAAAAGTCGGGGGTCGTCTTATACACCAGTGTCAGGGCGGCACTTTTTCGAGGGGCGGCGCCGCCCCCGCCCCCCTTCCTCCAACGGACATTAAGTACAGGGGTGGGCAGAGGGGCTGCTGTACCTTACCTGGCTCCGGTCCCACGACGATCCGGTCCAGGAAGCGCGGCTGCCCCTTCTTTCAGTTCGGCCGCTCGATGGTCACGCGGCCGCTCGGCTCTGCCTCCTCACCGGTGATTGGGCGCCAGCACTGGAAATGCACACAGGCGACCAATCACCGGCGAGGAGGCGGAGCCGAGCGGCCCGCGAAAATAGAGCGGCCGTACTGGAAGAAGGAGCAGCCGCTCCTCTCCCCCACTGACACCAACGATGGGGCACTATTCCTCCTCCACACTGACACCAACGATGAGGCACTGTTCCTCCCCCACTGACACCAACGATGAGGCACTGTTCCTCCCCCACTGACACCAACGATGAGGCACTGTTCCTCCCCCACTGACACCAACGATGAGGCGCTGTTCCTCCCCCACTGACACCAACGATGAGGCGCTGTTCCTCCCCCACTGACACCAACGATGAGGCGCTGTTCCTCCCCCACTGACACCAACGATGAGGCGCTGTTCCTCCCCCACTGACACCAACGATGAGGCGCTGTTTCCTCCCCCACTGACACCAACGATGAGGCGCTGTTCCTCCCCACTGACACCAACGATGAGGCGCTGTTCCTCCCCCACTGACACCAACGATGAGGCGCTGTTCCTCCCCCACTGACACCAACGATGAGGCGCTGTTCCTCCCCCACTGACACCAACGATGGGGCGCTGTTCCTCCTCCCCACTGACACCAACGATGGGACGCTATTCTCCCCACTGACACCAACGATGGGACGCTATTCTCCCCACTGACACCAACGATGGGGCGCTATTCTCCCCACTGACACCAACGATGGGGCGCTATTCTCCCCACTGACACCAACGATGGGGCGCTATTCTCCCCACTGACACCAACGATGGGGCGCTATTCTCCCCACTGACACCAACGATGGGGCGCTATTCTCCCCACTGACACCAACGATGGGGCGCTATTCTCCCCCCTGACACCAACGATGGGGCGCTATTCTCCCCCTGACACCAACGATGGGGCGCTATTCTCCCCACTGACACCAATGATGGGGCGCTATTCTCCCCACTGACACCAATGGGGCGCTATTCTCCCCACTGACACCAATGATGGGGCGCTATTCTCCCCACTGACACCAATGATGGGGCGCTATTCTCCCCACTGACACCAATGATGGGGCGCTATTCTCCCCACTGACACCAATGATGGGGCGCTATTCTCCCCACTGACACCAATGATGGGGCGCTATTCTCCCCACTGACACCAATGATGGGGCGCTATTCTCCCCACTGACACCAATGATGGGGTGCTATTCTCCCCACTGACACCAATGATGGGGTGCTATTCCTCCCACTGATACCAATGATGGGCCGCTATTCCTCCCACTGACACCAATGATGGGACACTATTCCTCCCACTGACACCAATGATGGGGCACTATTCCTCCCACTGACACCAATGATGGGGCACTATTCCTCCCACTGACACCAATGATGGGGCACTATTCCTCCCACTGACTAATGATGAGGCACTATTCCTCACACACTGACACTAATGATGGGGCACCATCATTGGTGTCAGTGGGAGGAATAGTGTTCCATCATTGGTATCAGTGGGAGGAATAGTGTCCCATCATTGGTGTCAGTGGATGAAAGTGTCCCATCATTGGTGTCAGTGGATGAAATAGTGCCCCATCATTGGTGTCAGTGGGAGGAATAGCACCCCATCATTGGAATACCATACTGAAATAGCATACAATATTGAAATCAAATCTGATGTTTTTTTTCATTTTTATTTGGTGTGTGTTGGAAGAGGGGTAGTCTTATACGGCGAGTATAGCTCAAAACCCTATATTTTAACAGGAAAAGTAGGGGGTTGTCTTATACGCCCAGTTGTCTTATACGCCGGAAAATACGGTAATATATACATGCCTTCATTTGTATTTGCTTTGTATTATTTTGTAGGAGCGCTGCAGGTTCATTTTATATAAATATGTCACCAACTTGTTCATTCCATGCCTAGAAGATTTGATGCTGTCCTTACAAATCATGAAGGTCATTCAAAATACTAGATGGAGTAGTTTTTGTTATGAGGTAAATTCATTTTTGCATTAACTAATCTGAGTAAAACTCAAGAAGATTTTGTAATCCAAGTTATATTATTAACCTTACTTTCATGAAATGTGCTAAACAAAGGTTCTATAAAAACTCAGTTCTGTCAAAACTTTGGACATTGTTCTTGTGTTCATTGAGATATTGATTAAATTCTTACTTTTCAAAAGGGGTTTACTCATTTAGGCCAAGCACTGTGTATTTAATGTTTTTTTTTTTAGTTAATTCATGGAATTTGTCTTTAAAACAAAATTGTGGTTTTCTTACCTTCATGGACTCCAGTTCCATGCGCAAGCGATTATTTTCCGAGAGTAGATCTCTGTTCCTGCTCTCAGTCTGCAGCAGCTGTGCCTCCAGCTCAGCTTCATATTCTCGACTAGCCCCTTGGAACTCATTTAGCTCTTCATGTGCATCCTCAGAACTAACACAGAAATACAAAGTTACCCTTACAGCTCTTGCTTCAAACCCCCTCACCCATCTAAAATGTAGGAGACAAGAAAATAAACGTACCATTTCCTGTATTTCATTGCTAGATCTTTCCAGTACTGTGCCTCTTCCTCCAAAGAATGAAAGGTATCTTCAGCTAAATCATCCATATCAGCAGTTGCATTAGCGCTTTCATACAGTTTGCCACAAATTCTGCAAAAGGCAGCAGTCACAATAATTAGGAACAATTAAATAATAATCCAAACATGCACCTGCCATTGTATTCCATACATCATGGAATATAACAGTCAGTGTTGTCGGACTGCACTCAGGAACCAAGATTTATTGTGTGGGAAGCAATATCCCAACAATTTTGCACTATGCTATCAAAAGGAAACCTGTAGTAATATATATATATATATATATATATATATATATATATATATATATATATATATATATATATATACACACACACACACACACACACACACACACACACACACACACACACACACACACACACACACAGTGAAGGAAATAAGTTTTAGATCCCCTGTTGATTTTGAATGTTTGCCCACTCACAAAGATATGATCAGTCTAAAAATCGAATGGTAGGTGTATTGTAACAGACAGAATAGGAACAAAAAAATTCAAAAGAAATGCATGTCTAACACATTATACACGGATATGAATGTTCATGAGGGAAATAAGTATTTGATCCCCTCACAAAACAAGACTTAGTGGCAAATCCCTGGTTGGCAATCACAGAGGTCAGACGTTTCCTGTAGTTGGCCACCAGGTTTGCACACATCTCAGGAGGGATTGTGGCCCACTTGTCTTGGCAGATCCTCTCCAAATCATTAAGGTTTGGTGGCTGACGTTTGGCAGCTCGAACTTTCAGCCCCCTCCACAGATTTTCAATTCAGATTAAGATCTGGAGACTGGCTAGGCCAGGACCTTAATGCGCTTCTTCTTGGCCACTCCTTTGTTGCCCTGGCCGTGTGTTGGGGGTCATTGTCATGCTGGAACACCCATCCACGACCCATTTTCAATGCCCTGGCTGAGGGAAGAAGGTTCTCACCCAAGATTTGATGGTACATTGCCCCGTCCATCATCCCTTTGATGCGGTGCAGTTGTCCTGTCCCCTTAGCAGAAAAACACCCCCAAAGCAGAATGTTTCCACCACCATGTTTGACAGTTGGGATGGTGTTCTTGGGGTCCTAGGCAGCATTCCTCCTCCTCCAAACACGACGAGTTGAGTTGATGCCAAAGAGCTCGATTTTGGTCTCATCTGACCACAACACTCCTCTGCATCATTGAGATGTTCAGTGGCAAACTTCAGATGGGCCTGGACATGTACTTTCTTAAGCAGAGGGACCTTGCGGGGACTGCAGGATTTCAATCCTTGTCGGCGTAGTGTGTTACCAATTGTTTTCTTGGTGACTGTGTTCCCAGCTGCCTGGAGATCATTGACAAGATGCTCACGTGTAGTTCTGGGATGATTCCTCACTGTTCTCATGATCATTGACACTCCACGAGGTGAGATCTTGCATGGTGCACCAGACCTACGGAGACTGACAGTTGTTTTGTGTTTCTTCCATTTGCAAATGATTGTCACTGTCTCACCAAGCTGCTTTGCGATAGTTTGGTAGCCCAGTCCAGCTTTGTGTAGGTCTACAACCTTGTCCCAGACATCCTTGGACAGTTCTTTGGTCTTTGCCATGGTGGAGAGTTTGGAATCTGATTGTTTGATTGGTCCTGTGGACAGGTGTCTTTTATACAGGTAACAAAATGAGATAGCAGCACTCCCTTTAAGAGGCTGCTTCTAATCTCAGCTTGTTACCTGTATGAAAGACACCTGGTAGCTAGAAATCCTGCTGAATGATAGGGATCAAATATTTATTTCCCTCATGAACATGCAAATCAGTACATAATTTGTTAGACATGCATTTCTTTTGAATTTTTTGTTGCCATTAGGTCTCTCAGTGTTACAATACACCTACCATTCGATTTTTCGACTGATCATTTCTTTGTGCGTGGGCAAACATTCAAAAATCAGCAGTGCATACAATTCCTCCCTCAATGCTGCCAAACAAGCCTACTTTGTCACTCTTATTAATACCTTGTCATCCAGTCATCTTCTCTACTTTTAGCTCTCTACTTTCTTCACCTCCACTCAGTAACTCACTCACTGCTTACAAGATTGCAAATTATTTCAAAAACAAGATTGATGCAATTGGTAGGGGCATCTCCACTACACAGACATCTATCCCATTTAGCATACCTTATACTAAACCTCCCTCAACACTTTCCTCTTTTGACCTTCTACTACTGAAGAGGTCACTAAAGTTTCTTCAGAAGCCCGTCTCAACACGTGCCCCATGGATCCTGTCCCTCTCAACTACTACGCACCCTCTTCTACCTATGCTCCCTCATTCACATCTTCAATCTCTCCCTCTCTAATGGCGCCTTCCTCACCCCTCTAAAGCATCACACATCACTTCCATACTTAAAAAACCCTCTCTGGGCCCCATCAACTGAACAACTTAAGACCCATATCCCCGTGGTCCTGTTTACCTCTAAACTCTTTCCGAACCATCTACAATCGCCTGAGCTCCTACCTCACTGTACAACAACTCTTCTTTACGCTTTACAGTCTGGCTTTCGCTCACTCCACTTCAAAAACTAAAACTCACTGAATGATTTACTATGCTAAAAACCATTGGCCACTGTGTCCATACTCTTCTCCTTGATCTCCATACTTTTGAAACTGTTGACCCCTCTATCTTGGCCTGAGACATGCTCTCTTCTGCCTCCTACCTATCGCAGGCTCCTTCTTTGGAGCGTTACCTATAACGCCGCCTTATCCTCCTCTCCACTCCCTGCGTTGCCTTCTGTAGGGGTTTTTCCTTGGACCCCTTAGCTTCTTTTCCATCTACACCTCCTCCTTGGTCACTTGATAAACTCCCATGGCTTTAACCTCCCTAGAGGTCTGATTATGTCCAGTGTCAAAGCATTTTTTTTGCATGGAA